GCCCCCGGCCTCTCGGCCTGGGGCTCGGTCACTCAGGCACAGCTGGTGCTTAGCTGCTCGTGATTTGTAGGTGGACGCCATATTAGTTGCAGCGGTGACCTGTAAGAGAAAAACAGACTTTTTTTGTTGTTGTTATTTGTGTTGCTTTCATGTGATTCCCGTTTAAGAATTGTTTAATGACTTTATTTGATTCTCTCATCATCTGACCTATCTGCTGCTATTCTGGGCATGTTCTTCATCTTGCTCTCCTTTGTGAGTGGGTGACCTTTATGTTGTCCTCGGTCCTCTTCAGTCTCTCTCAGATCTTTTTTTGTCTCATTTCCACTTTAATCATATCTCCCTCCCACTGTCAGTCTGTCTGTCTGTTTCTCTTGTGAATGGAGAGACAGAGATTGAGTCTTAGAATGGGAGTCAGCAGCCTACACAGTTATGTTACAAAACACTGCAGCATTCACGGCGCTGACCTGTTTTTATCCTTATTTCAGTAGCTGCCTACATAGAATGGCTTGATTCACAAACAGTTTGTCGATGACTGTTCTAAATGAATGATTTACCAATGTAGAGTTTCTAACGCAACTCATTTGGGATTGTTGTAATAAATACAACCACTGATCCATTGGGCTGTGACCCCCTTGAGCTGCGCTGATGTCTTCTGGGGGCTCTTTTTCATTTTTTTTAGCTTTTTTACTTTATCTTCTGTCTGGTTTAGTTTTCTTCCTTTCCAAGAATGTCACAGCAACTGCCATCCGTCCTTTAGTGGAATTTGCGTCTAATTACTTGAACATTTTCTGTATTCTAATAAAAGAAAAAAAAGAGAAAAATTGCACACAATGTTGAATAAATTAGAAAAAACATAAAAATATATGATAGGAAATGGGAAGTATAAAAGTATTCACTTGGTAAACGTGTATTACTATTCTGTGTGTGTTAGTATGGAGGCATTAATATTTGTGTACAAGCAGCAGGGATGGGCATGATTTTAGTGTTTAAACAGTCATTAATTATTTTAACACCAGGTTGGATGTAATGTGTCAGAACTACCAGCAGGTGGGGATAAGAGACCTTTAAGGGGTTTGGTGCCACACTCCACCTTCAGGTCTAAAACTAGTGTTAATGTTACGGAGCCCCGCGAGGGACATGGGAGAAAAATATTGAGATGAACAAACGTTTTCCAAGATCTTGCAAAATAGACTGCATCCTTCACAGGTTGCATTTGAAGGCTTTTGCAAAATCTCGCAAAAGTTCATCTTTATTATTTTTTTTCCTCTCATGTCCCTTGCAGGGCTCCATACTATGTTGGGAATTTCAAGGTTGAGTTTGTTCCACGACTGCATTTCACTCACTGCCTCTGTTTGTATCTCTGTCACTGCAGGACCAACATGGAGCGAGAAGTCAGCGCTCTCAGGAGGCCGACAAACCTCAACCAAGAAAGAGAGAGAAAACATACAGCTGTGACGAGTGTGGGAAGGATTTTACTGATAAGGGTAATCTAAAACATCATCAGGTCATCCACACTGGAGAGAGACCGTTCAGCTGTGACTTGTGTGGAAAGTCTTTTTCCTGGAAGGATGTTCTAAAAAAACACCAACTCATCCACAGTGGAGTTAAAGCGTACAGCTGTGATCAGTGTGGCAGAGCTTTCACTCACAGTAGCAGCTTACAGAGGCATCTAGTTACCCACTCTGGAATTAAGGCATACAGCTGTGACATCTGTGGAAAACCTTTCAGCCATATAGGGAATCGAAATAGACACCTAAGCATTCACACCAGACAAGATGTGTACTGCTGTGATCAGTGTGGCAAACAATTTACAACACATGCGAAGTTACAACAACACATGTTTACCCACACTGAGGAGAGACCTTATAAATGTGACCTGTGTGAGAAGACTTTTAAATCTCCACTTAACCTGAGCCTACACCAACAGATCCACACCAGAAAGAGACTCTCCAAGTGCAGTTACTGTGAGGTATGTTTTTATATTGTTATCTTGTCATTTTAGCCTGACTGTTTGGAACAACTCTGCTCATTAAACTGTGTTAGCATGTTAGCAATTCTACTGCATGGAAAAGCAGCTCTGAGTGATTATTCAGATTTTCATGTCAGTTATGATTTTAGTATTACTGTAGTATTATGGTGGTAATATTGCTATAAAGACACATCTCCTGGATGCACTGGTACTCATCTTCAGTGATGTATCCTAAGGTCATCAGGTGTTTCGGGTCTCACAACATCATACACCCTCGCCCAGGCGACCCAGCCGGGGGTGATCAGGCCCCGACTTGCGTACCAGTAGCTACCCACGGATCAGCCCTCTTGATCCACAGCCACCTTGTGGCTTTCTCTGCCGCTTCACTCACAGCCTGGATGGCCCTCTTCTTGGCTGCCCCAGCCACGCCCAGCCGGCCTGCAAAGCCCCTAAAACCCACTTCTATGGGCTCATAGAAAGTCTTCCAGCCCCTTCCCCTGCACTCCTGCACTAGTTCCTGGTACTTTCCTCGTTTCCTTTCATTGGCCTCCTCAATCCGCTCTTCCCAGGGCACTGTGAGTTCCAGCATGATCAGCTGTTTTGAGGCCTCAGAAATAATTATCATGTCTGGCCGGAGTGATGTTTTTGCAATGTTCTGAGGGAACTTTAGTTGTTTACCCAGGTCAGCCTGTAGCTGCCAATCAGAGGCTGTGTTGAGGAGGCCAGTTGTCAAATGTGGGCGCACCTGGGGTTTCTCTCCAGCCTTAATAAAAGAGATTGCCTTCCTCGGAGCATGATGATGCTTGCTGGTGCTGATTGCTGAGGCAATCTTTTCAGCAACTACTCTGAGCACCTGGTCGTGCCGCCAACGATACCGACCATCGGCCAGGGCCCTTGGGCAGCTGCTAAGGAGGTGTTCTAGGGTCCCTCTTCCAAAGCACAGGGGACAGGCAGGTGTCTCGCTCTTTCCCCACAGATGGAGGTTTGCTGGGCTTGGCAGAGTGTCGTAAACTGCCTGCACTAGGAATCGGATCCGGTGGAAGTCTGCCTGCATGATGTTTGCCCAGGTGACCTTGCGCTGCAAGGTGCTCTCCCACCTTGTCCATGCTCCCTGCCGCTTAAGGCCTACAGCTCTACTTACTCGCTCCTCCTCCACACCTGCTCGGACCTCTTCCTGGAGTAGCTGGTGTCTCTCCTTTCCCTGTGCCCTGCTGACCTGGGCCTTTGGGACGTACCCCAAGCCTGCTCCCCCTGTTGCTAAGACCCCCATCAGTGTTTTCTGCCTTAGGCGTGACTCCGCCACCTCAACTGCCTTCTCAGTTATTGAGCCCAGTAAACTGAGTGTGTTAATCTGAAACAGTAAATGTAATTGGACGTCTGCAGAGATGCTCTTTATTTCAGGCGACGTTCAGGATAAAATGTTGAAGGACTGACTTACACTGTCTTTGTGTCTTTGTTTAGAAGCAGAGCGACACAGATGGATCCAGTTCTCAACCCTGTCATCGCTGTGGTGGTGGGAAAGACTTTCGTTGTGACCTTTGTGGGAAAGCTTTCAGTCACCAATACACCTTAAAAGTACATCGACGTAGACACACTGGAGACAAACTGAAATACTGTAAAGAATGTGGGAAAAGTTTCACCACATCAAGTAGATTAAAACGCCATGAACTGATTCACAGTGGGGTTAAAAAGCACCTCTGTGATCAGTGTGGGTCATCCTTCATTACTGCAGGTCAGCTTAAAACACACAAACAAGTCCACACAGGAGAGAAACCATACAAGTGCAGACACTGTGACAAAAGCTTCTCACAATCAGGTAATCGTATTTTTCATGAATGGGCACACATGGAAGGAAACTACAGCTGTGACCAGTGTGACAAGAGCTTCAGGAATTTCTGTTCATACTCCGAACACAAACGATCCCACGTTACTAATAAACTGTTTCACTGTTACCAATGTGCCCAAACATTCACCTCATTGTCTGCTCTGTGCAAACATCAGCGTGATCACTCAGGGCTGAAATCACTCCCATCACTGGATCACAGTGAATCTGAAGAGACAGAAAGATTCTCTTGAGGTTTGAGGGTTAAACTTAATGTCAATGCTGACATCACGATTACGTGATTAAAAATTTTACACAATTAATCCGTTCTGGAGCGCAGAAATCAGAAATCCCTGAAATGTCTCTGTCAATGTATTTTGGACAGTTTATCCAAAGTTCGTGCATTCTGCGCTCCAGATGGGTTAAAAATTGTAATTGTGTCAATCTTGATGACAGCGTTAACATTGACAGCATATATGTAAAAACTGAGTGTCAGGGCCCTCGGTGCGCCTGCTTGATGCTGTGCTGAAGTCTCACACACAACCTGTCGAAAGGGGAGGGGGCAGGCTGCTTGATTATGATTCATATCTTCACTCCAAGCCTATTATGTATTAATTATTTTTCCTGGGTTGTGTAAAATCCCACAAAAGTAAACAACACATCTGCTTACCTGGTATTGTCCTGAAACGATAACACTCATTAGTAGGAATTGAGAAAACTGCTGTTTACCTTTGTTAGCTTCTTGGCTATTATAGTAAACAGTAGACAGACAGTAGAGACTGATGTGACTTATTGAATCTTTTGGACTGTGTTCAGCATAATATTAACGAGCCGCTAATTGGAAGAGCTGTATTGTTGATTTGTTTGATATTTCAATGTGTGATTAATTATAACGACTGTTTGTTATCCCTTTGCAAATTTGTTATGTTTGTGCTTAAAGGCTCTTCACCATGGGGTTCGCTTCACTTTGCTTTTCTGCTAACTGTCTCGCTATATTCTGTGTGTAATTTCTTACTGTCCTTGTAATTCTGTTTATTAAACTCTGTTTCAAGAATATTACTCTTTTCCAGAGGATCTTTTCGAGTGCCTTGATTTTAACTGAATCTAAAAAAAAGCCGGATCTCCACAGACATCCATGATGGCTTTGCGACCAAAGCAGACAGCAGTATAAACGCCCAGGCGGACGCACCTGAGCGGAGAGGTTCTGCTCCTCAACCTCTGCGCACAGCATCTGCAAATCGGGGCTGTACCAAGTCCCTTTCATCTTTACACAGGACTGTAAGCTGTCATCTGTGAGGCGTGAACGGTGTTTGTTTTTAACATAGTTCACAGTTGAGAACAGCTGCTGACATAATGTTGATCCGAAGATCCATAATTGGCCTACCTGGGGTTGAAAGTCTCGATAAATTGCATGCCGTTTCAACAGGTTTACCGGCCTCCTGCGAGTGTGACGCTTATTTTGAGCGATGAAAAAGTAATATAATATAATTGTATTTTTTTTATATTTCAATATCACAATAATCTTCCAATGTAGAACTACAAGTTAAAAAAGAACTAACATAAATAAAATACACTTTAGCTAAATACTTCTAATTTATTTTCCCAAACCACGCAGAGCCGCAGTATAAGGACTAAAGAGCCGCATGCGGCTCCGGAGCCGCAGGTTGCCGACCCCTGCCTTTATTTTTCTTTTTCTTTTTTTTTTTGCCTCTCCCGTTTGGATCTCTAGCTATCAAAATTGTTGTCTGAAGGCAAAGAAAGATGCCAAGTGGATTCATTTTACCAAGTGGATCATCATGGCCTTGCCATATTGGTGCATTTGATTGACCTTTATTATAATTATGTATTTATTTAATTTTCGTTTTTTTAAAGACGGGACAGACATCACTGGAGGATAGGACAGGGAGAAAGAATGACAGAAAGAGAGGGAGAGAAAGAAAAATATAGGGGAGAAGAGACGGTGAGAAAGGGGGGAAGAAAAACAAACAAAACACCTGGATCACCACGATCACCAAAGAGCAACATAATAAAAAACAACACCATCCCAATAAACTAGCTAATAATAGATAACAGTAGATACTTTTTTAATTTCACCTGTTGAGAATGAAAAAAGAAAACGAGCAGAAGAAAACAAGAGCAATAGAATAAACAGCATCATGATGATCTATGGGAATATAACAGTAAATACTAAATATTAAATATTATTGTGCAGAACGTAATATCGACAGCACACAGTGTGATTTGAGGTAGGAGCCAAAAAGGGTGTAGTTTGTGTGTGTGAGCACCCGTGTGTACACCTGTGAGCATGAGCGTGCTTGTATTTAAAAGGTTCCTTCATGTAATGATCTGCTAGAGGGTGTGGGGGGGCCACAGCCTCGTCCTCCAGGGCATGAAGCAGGTATGGAGGAGATCAAAACTCCAGACATCCAGAGGCCCCCAGAACACAAGAGACCAAGGAAGACCAACAGAGGGGCAGCCGCGCCACTGTCCCAGAAAGAGCTGAGGAGAGTCCCAGATGAGGGCTCACTCAGCAGCCGCGGAGCAGAAGCCAGGGGGAGTTGCAGAGACGTGCCCGTGAGCTCCCACCCTCATTCTCTCATATGTAATTACTCAACACTCACCCAACGTGGACACAGACACTGTACA